GCACTACAAAGTCGCCAGTTCTCATCTTCCAGCTCCCCAGATACTCCGCGTACTAAAGTTGCACTACAAAGTCGCCAGTTCTCAGCTTCCAGCTCCACAGATTGCTCCGCGTACTAAAGTTGTACTACAAAGTCGCCAGTTCTCAGCTTCCAGCTCCCCAGATTGCTCCGCGTACTAAAGTTGCACTACAACGTCGCCAGTTCTCAGCTTCCAGCTCCCCAGATACTCCGCGTACTAAAGTTGTACTAGAAAGTCGCCAGTTCTCATCTTCCAGCTCCCCAGATACTCCACGTACTAAAGTTGTACTCGCAAGTCACCAATTCTCATCTTCCAGCTCGCCAGATACTCCGCGTACTGAAGTTGTACTACAAAGTCGCCAGTTCTCAGCTTCCAGCTCCACAGATAGTGCGCCACGAAATCTGCACATGGAGGTTCACAAAATGCTGTGCCTGCCACGAAATCTGCACATGGAGGTTGACAAAGTGCTGCGCCTGGCGCGAAATCTGCACATGGAGGTTCACAAAGTGCTGTGCCTGCCACGAAATCTGCACATGGAGGTTCACAAAGTGCTGCGCCTGCCACGAAAACTGCACATGGAGGTTCACAAAGTGCTGCGCCTGCCACGAAATCTGCACCTCGAGGTTCATACAGCGCTGCGCCTGCCACGAAATCTGCGCATGGAGGTTCACACAGTGCTGTGCCTGCCACGAAATCTGCACATGGAGGTTCACACAGCGCTGTGCCTGCCAGAGGTTCACAAAGCGCTGTGCCTGCCACGAAATCTGCACCAAAGCGCTGTGCCTGCCACGAAATCTGCACATGGAGGTTCACAAAGCGCTGTGCCTGCAACCGAGACCGTCTCGCACACATCGTTCCGCAAAGCTTGACTGGCCAGCTTCGGAGCCACCCTTTCTATTGAAAACCACAGCATTTCGTGCGTCCGCTATCTCTCGAAAACGTATTTTGTATTGCGCCTGCCACGAAATCTGCGCATGGAGGTTCACAAAGCGCTGTGCCTGCCACGAAATCTGCACATGGAGGTTCACAAAGTGCTGTGCCTGCCAGGAAATCTGCGTATGCAGGTTCACAAAGTGCTGCGCCTGCCACGAAATCTGCGCATGGAGGTTTACAAAGTGCTGTACCTGCCACGAAATCTGCACTTCAAGAAACAACTGAAACCTCTAATCACAATGGAGGGACGCATCCGAGAATGACCCGAGACCGTCTCGCACATCTCATTCCGCAAAGCTAGACTTGCAAGCTTCAGAGCCACCCTTTCTATTGAAAAACACAGCATTTCGTGCGCCCGCTATCTCTCGAAAACGCATTCTGTATTGCGCCTGCCACGCGTGCGAAATCTGCACCTCAAAGTTCACAAAGCGCTGCGCGTGCCACGAACTCTGCACATGGAGGTTCACAAAGCGCTGTGCCTGCCACGAAATCTGCACATGGAGGTTCACAAAGTGCTGGACCTGCCTCGTAAACTGGAGCTAGAGCTATTGAAACTAGAGCTAGAGCTCTTGAAACTAGAGCTATACCCGGAGCTAGAGCTATTGAAACTAGAGCTACCTGGAGCTAGAGCCCTGAGCTAACTGGAGCTAGAGCTCTTGAAACTAGAGCTAAGTGGGTGATGAGTGGTGTACGTTGAGTGGTGTATGATGAGTGGTGTATGTTGAGTGGTGTATGATGAGTGGTGTATGATGAGTGGTGCATGATGAGTGGTGCATGATGTGGTGTATGATGAGTGGTGTATGATGAGTGGTGTATTGATGAGTGGTGTATGATGAGTGGTGTATGATAAGTGGTGTATGATGAGTGGTGTATGATGAGTGGTGTATGATGAGCGGTGTATTGATGAGTGGTGTATTGATGAGTGGTGTATGATCAGTGGTGTATGATCAGTGGTGTATGATCAGTGGTGTATGATGAGTGGTGTATGATGAGTGGTGTTTTGATCAGTGGTGTATTGATGAGTGGTGTATGAACAGTTCTTGAATGTCCGTAACACGGAAGTTTCGTACACTAAACTTCCTTTGAAAATGTTTAACAATATTCATATAATATATATATATATATATACAATACATTTCTTGTTGTTGGCCTTTCCCCATAGCCTTTGCTCAGTGCTACCCCGGTATCCGGTGGCCACCAATGCGGCGCTCAAAGGCATCGGCCGCACATGTTGTGTTCACTCAGTTGGCTCTCCCATGATGGCTCCACACCGCCCACAGATGGTCCAGTTAGCCTACACCAGGAGTGACCCGCACGATGTCGGACGGTCCACAATGGCGGTGCGGCGCGGTGCGGCCACGAACCCTGACTCGGAGGGCTGGAGGGCC